TTTTCTTGTTCATTATTATTATCATTAGTTTCTTTTTTTGTTGGTTTGATCTCTTGTTCATTATTATTTGTTTGTTTTAATGCTGGTAATTTATGAACACGTGGATGTCTTGTTGTTGATTGATTTTTTTCATTTTCTACATGGACAGTTTCAGTATTATGTTCATTTTCATTTGGTTTCGATTTATCAGGAGATACTTTTGTCGATGATAATGGTTTTGATTTTGAAGATTTTTTATTTTCATTGTTTTTCTTTTTCTTTTTCTTTTTATCTTTTTTCTTCTTTCCCGAATCATCGGCTGTTGCACCAAGTAAACTCATAATTCTACCGACTTGTGAATTAAGACCAACACCAACAACAATCATTCGACCACTACCTTCCATAACATGTGTACCTGATATTAATCCAACATCTTCTTTCTCATTTTTCTTTACTAAATCCGTTTCTCCTATAATAAATATATGTTAATTTTTAAAATAAATTTTTGTTAGCGTAATCTTTGTGAAATTCAAATACGAAACATAATGTTGCTAATGAGAAGGGGATTGTTTTATTCTATCTATTTTATAAAATCTTTTTTTTTCTTAAGCTTTGAGAAATCCAATTGAGAAGTAGTTCATAGATTATAAAGAGACATTATCGATATCCGATCTATCATGGTCAAATGAGGCGGCTTAGGGAGTATTTTTCTATAAAGTAGGTGGATATGTGTTCTTATGATTTAGGAAGATCTTATTTTGTACTGAATATAGCAACAAAAAGACTTTTATCCCATATGTATATGAAAAACATGTTTCAAACGAAGATTAATAAATTATACATTATTCGATACTGATTCCAAATATAAAGTTAGTCTTCAATAAAAGTGTTTATATGTAAAAAAAAAAAAGAATTTTATTGTGACTACCCATGGCTCAGGTATACAACGCTCATGGCGATTTGAGCTAATGCGGCATCCGTGTGGAACATTCAATAGAAATGTCGCTGCATTTGAGGTTGTAGAAAATTGTGGAAGCTCATACTACTAAATATATTTCCACAAAAGTACTTAACATTAAAACATTTTCACATGATATATATAATTTCCGCAAAGATGTGTTCTCCTTGTTTGTTAATCCAAAGTTTTAAAAGTCTCTAATCCTTACTAGCAGTGCTTTTCGACAAATTTTTATCTGTACTTTTCGACTAATACTAACAAAAGAAACTAAGACTTTTATGTCATTAAGTAATCCATAGGTCAGAAAATATGTAGCCTTATTTCAATCATTAGAAGGTACACTTTCAATATTTAATCTAATGTTCGCTCGAATGGCTGCAGTGGAGGGAGAGTCCAAATTTTTATCTCGATACTTCAACACTCCTTTTAAATCATATTTCGCAAAATTAAAAATAAGTCTATGCACCTGTTATAGATGATTCATCAATTTTAAGGTCACTTGCTTGAGCAACTAAACCATCAGCTGGTAAAAGATCACCTAAAAAGGAAGATTTTTATATAAAAATAAATTATTTTGTTAATCTATTATTTTTACCATATTTAATAAAACAAAGATCACCAACAACAAGTTCTGAAACAGGTATTTGTTGTATACGATTATCTCGTATAACAGATGTTTGTTGATCTTTTTCAATTTTATCTTGTAATCCACGAAATTGACGTTCTTTTCGCCAATCATTAAATGCAGTTACTAGCACAACGACAAGAACAGCAACAAGAATAGCTACACCTTCAATCCATTCAAGATTAGCTAAAATAAAATAATTTATTTAGATTTATTAAATACTTTTGTCAAGTGATTTTTGTCATATCAGTTATAGATAAAAATAAACTCAATTAAGTCATTATGTTCTGTTAGTTTCAATATTAAATTAATGATTTAGTACTTTTGTATATGATAAATGAATATTTTTTTAGCTAAATAAATATCTGTTTTTATTTTTTTCTATTAATAATTTTACCAAAATCAACAAAAGTAAAGAGAAACAGAAGTCATGTTTTTATTATTGAGTACTAATTCTTTAATAGATTTTTTTTTCTCAATGTATGCAAATATATAATCCTTTTCGAACATAGGTTTTTATCTTCGTATAAAACTTAGTCAATATTGAAAATATCGCTTCATTATAATCGTTGACGTAAATAAGATCTTTTCTCTGTTCTTTTTTTAGTCGATGACATCTGTTTTATTATCATTTGTTTTGTTGTATTTTTCAGTGCAAACATTTATTTGCATGAGTATGACAAAATGACGTTTGTACATGATTCATTTTTGTTAATGTACTGTAAAAACTGGTAATTATGAAACTCTACTAAGTATTTCGATATCAACCTCTGTAGAAAATTTTCAATGGAAGTATAGTTTAAAAGGTACATTGTATAAATGATGACGAAAGGAAAGAAAAAAATAAAGTTAAAAAGGTGTACAAATAAACAGTTATTAATAGCATCATTTTCTATGATTACTAGAAGTGTCTATTGATAGCTAAAAGTATCAATCAACATTCTCTTCTTCTCTTATGTGTATAGGTACAGGTCAAAAGATATAATGTTATGCTATGCTCACGTTCATCTTCTTTTCCTTCGCCTCCTTCTTGAGGCGGTTTGTAAAATGATAGACCGATTGAAACAACAGCACATATTAATAATATAACTAATAACATATCATGAAATGCATCCCAACATAATCTTAAAAATGTTTTCATTGGTTTCGGTGGTATCTCATTTTTTCCATAAGCTATACGACGTTGTTCAAGATCTTGTTGATTATTTGAATCAAGACCTTTAGTACCATCAACTTTTAATTTTTCTAATATTCCTTTAACACCGTTATATTCAGATGAATTAAGTTTTTCCATTAACTCTTTTCCTCGGACATCCATAAGTTCTTTAAGTTGATCTAGTGTTATACCAAACATTGACGAATCACCACCACCTACAACAGCTTTATCAGCTGTTGGTTTTTTTTTGAACAATGACATCTAAATAATAAATAATTCGTTGATATGTATTAAACAACACGAATGATTGAATGAAGCGTAAGAAAAAGAGACGAACAATCAATGATGAATAAAATTTATTTTTTATCATCAATTTTCAACTGAACTGAATTCTTTCTGTTTCTATTTTATTTATTTCATTCAAAGAAAAGAAAAAAGAACCTTCGAAAGAAAAGAAACAAAGATTACGTTTATTATTTACCTAGATTACGACTTTCTCGTCCTCATTGCCCTTTTCTACTAAATTCATTGAGGGTATCACGTGTCCAAATTGTCATAAATCAACATCTTAAAGTTTCTTTTGCGTTTTTTTCAAGAATAAACGTACTGTACTACATGCTGTATAGTTAGGAAATGCAAACAAAAATCCACATCACACATGAAAATATAAACGTTGTCTTGTCTTTGTTCTACTAATTATGTTTACTGATGATACATATGAGTGTTACTGGTTAGCGACAGCAAACAAAGTTAGAATACTGCTATTTGAAACTAACTACAGGACAAATGAAAAATATCTGCTTCTTCTTAAACTGTAAAGTAGTAGCACAGAATGAGGATTTTTTTGTCTTTCTTTGTGTTCTACTCTTAGTTTAGTGATTGAGGGAGATGACGAGAATCGTGTGTAGAACTAAGACAAAAGAATAGGAGAAATCTAATACACATGTTGAGTATACAGAAAACGAACGTTGGATATAATTATATTTTATTATTCAATAGTTGATAAATTATTAGTTTTGTAAACAATATTCCACTCTTAATATTACAGTTCTTGACGTCCTTTCGTGTATATGTAATATTGATTTCTACCTGCGTCACATGAGAAATGTCGAGAATTTAGAAGATATTTTTGTTGCTGAAGATGAGGCAATTGCATATAAAGATAGTCTGGGCTAACAGTATTGCTCTCATTTTTTTTCCCTTTCTTTCTCTCTGTTTGATCGTTTCTTATCTTTCTGATGCGCTCCTTGTTAGCGATGGTATTCCTACTTCTCTGATTAGATCTAAATACAGACATGAGTGTTACAACATGGTGAATGTAATGTTTATTATTATCCTAATACCATTTACCATATAAACCTGTCAATCATCATGATTTTTTTGGTATTTATACCTCAGAACAAAATCCAGATACAACATTAATTCTTATTCTAGATACTTTTTAATAAAACTGAAACAAAATATTCATATTTTGATGACTTCTTGTTGTTTTTTGTTTTAGTTAAAAGTTTCGTTTTTTTCAGAAAAACAAAACCTACCTTTTTCTTTGGTTCTTTAACTTCCGTTTTTTGTGAGGAATCCAATAATGGCATTTCTACTTGTTTGGTGTCATCATCTTCCTGTAAACGTTTCGATGTTGATGAAGAATGCTTTTTCTTCGAAGTTTTATCTTCTCGAGCAGGTTTTTCTGTTGTCGTTTCCGCCCTTTGAATAAAAAAATTTTTTTATTAAATATGCTTTTCTGTTAATCATTTCCCAAAATATAGTTAAAAATTCTTTTTAGTTATGCGTCAGTCATTAAGTAAGAGTGCCAATTTATTATGCCGCTACGTCAATACAATCTATTTACATTTCATTAAAAGTGTAAATTGAATTTACTCAGTATAGCGGTATATTTCTCAAGAGCTTAAAAACTCATATACATTGTATTAAAATGATGCGATGGACATTAAAGATAATGCGTTTCAAACTCATCAATTAAAATGAACATTTTCATCAATTTAATTCTATGATTTTGGTTTAAAAAAATTATTTTTATTACATTCACTTAATTAAAATGTTCATTTTAATCAATAAGATTGAAATACGTCAATTTTGATGTCTGTTTCATCATCTCAAATGTCATTTTATTTTCGTATTTTTGATAGAAAACTCATGAAAACGATGAATTTTTTTTTCATTTATTAATCCTATCAATCTAGTTATGTTTCTTTGACAATCATTCTTATATTATACTATTTCTTTTTATACATATACTATCACCGCTTGATCATTATCTTTTCGTATAAATAGATAATCTATGGATAATAAGATAAAACAGATGCTTATGAAATTGTAGATAACACAAAACACTATCTTATCGAAAAACATAAGCAAGTACAGCTGCTATTCGTCACATTTAATAATTTATATATTATTAGGTGAAAAAAAAACATTGATGAATTGTTTGGTATTAATTCAAATAAGAAAGAATATCAATGAAAGTATTCAAAAGTAAAAATAAAAAAATACTATTATAAATATATTTATCGAAAAATTTCTCTTTCTAAATATCTCTATGGACATGAATAATATTTATACACGAATTCTTTTTGTATTTATTCAGGTAAATAAATATAAATCGATACTAATCATCAAGGTGAATTGTATATGTCAAACTCGCTAAATAATATGTAATATGTAACCCGATGAGTACAAAATGATTTCATCTATGTGTAAATTTTAAAGATCGTTTTTCTTTTATTTCAAAATGAGTTTTAATCGGATTTTTTATTCAATAAGAATATTTATCAAAAAGTGAGATGATGATACGAAAATAACCTTTATTATATTAATAGAAACAAATAGAAGTTGTTTAATATTGAATCTAAGACTGTTGATGTAAATCGTTCAGAATTGTTTAATCTGATTATAGAATACTTGTTCGCTGTACTGATCTATTATTTATATTAGTTTCATAAAAGAAATAACTATCTCAGAAGAAAAAGTAATACTAATAAATTATATATTAAATTAAAATATTGTTAATCATATAATTGTTTGGAAAACGTTCTAAAAATAGTGTTGAAGGATATAGAGTAGAACTGTTGACATACGATCGAAGACCATATGTCAATGACGTCTCGTTATAACAAGTGGCGCAGATTAAATGGGACAATATCATTTTTCTCTTTCGGGTCATTCCGACACTTTCGGAAAGTCATTCGGTAGAGAATTTCGTTCTCTTTGCTTCTACAATCTTTCCAAAGCTGCTAGTGCTATTTGGTCATAAAAAAAAACTTGGAACTAATATCTACTGATATTTTTCTACACGTACCGAGAGAGAATGTTTTCCCGAGTGAGACTTAGTGTATGAGGTAGTCATTCTCAAGCTGTCTATTGTAGAATTTAATTTCAAAAATATGTTGTGATTGCTAAGCTGACGAGTACAAACGATTAGATCGTATCGAAATAAAAAAGAAAAACAACAATCATATAATCGTGTCAAACAAGTACTTTTTTCCAGTTTTTACGTCATGATTATTCTCGTAAATATTTCTTCTGAAATTCCGAAACATCTATCAAAAGATACAGAATTTTGTAGAACAATTTGATGACATATTTGTCATTTCAGAAAAGTGTTGTTGAAAAAAAAAGATTTGTATCATTTTCTCCGTGTTCTTTTCGACTGTCGTAATTAGACGACTAAGTGCTAATATTTGGAATTTTATTCCAACAAAGAAGAAAAAAATTATTTGAAAAATAAATTCAATAGTTTAATAAAGCAAAAAATTCTCTATGGAATGACTTTCTAAGCGTGTATCAACATGATTCAAAAAAAGAAAATCATATTGTGCCATGTAATGTGCGTAATTGGTTAACATATGCATTATCTCTTTATTAAATTTTTCCAGGATTAAATAAAAGGATGATAAAGACATATGTCCCACGATAGATAGAATAAAACAATCTTCTTGTATTTAACAAGAGCATCTACGTTGTGTTTTACATTTTAATCCTACAAAGACTATGCTAACAGCTTTTCTAGTTTACTTTCCTATTTGTTGTTAAACATTGATCTAACATGAAACCATCTGCTTTGCTGTAGTCCTGTCTATTTGATAATTATGATAATAAGGAAATTTTGTTTTTAATCAACATCAGGCAATGTACTTGTTTTTTTAATGGGAATTTTATCAAATTCGTTCCTTATGTCTGATGTTCTTTTTTTCTATAAATGCTTGGAAAATAGGAAAACATGATGGACTTTCAAGAATTTTTCTATACTATATCTGTTCTTGATATATAGGATCTTCGTCTTCTGCTTCATTTGCTAAGATTAATAAACAAGAAACTCTTCTCACTTGAATCGTATAACCAACTTTTGTATGGAATTATTTAATGTCTGAAAATTTTCGAAATTAATTTGGATATGTTTTCACTAGAAAGAAACTCTTGACACTGTTAAATTTTATCGTCTATACTTCAATTTCTTGAGATGAAAAATCTTTATAGATTTATGTCAATCATCTTGCTTTACTTTAAAAAAAATTGTTTGCACAGTCCGTTTGAAGTTACAATATGGAACTTATATGTCTTCTTTAGCTTCATTACACTCAAACAAAATAAGAAAAAAAAAAGAATCTCTAACAGACGATAATTGCTTTCGAACATAGATTTTTTTCTTTTTCTTTTTCTTTTTGCTACTGCTCTTTTTTTTTTTTTATTTATCTTATCGCTATTCTTCTTTGATTCCATTTTTCATAATTTTTTTATGATTGATTGAGCGGACAAATAAATCTGTCATGTATATTCTTTTTTTTATTAACAAAAAGCTTTCAACAAGCTTATATATATATATATATCTTGATAGACTAAAAAGACACTCATATTGATTATTTTTTAAAAATAAAAACTTGATCAGTTTATACGTTTGTATTGGCCATGTGACAACTGTCAATACATTATCAATCATCGTCCTTGATACTTGTGATGTAATCTTTCACGTGAACAAGAAAAATACTGTGTTATTTCGAACATTAAAAAATATATTCTAGCTATTTAGAGTGAGACTTTGAAATATTCTAAAACTGTATAAACCTTATTGTTGATGTCGCTTAATGCTTTTGTCTTTTGCCCAGGTATAGATAGAAAACAATTTTTCTATTGGTTGTCCTTGGCTACTATGAAAATATACTTAATAACCTGTAGCAATGTAAATAAGGTGCAGTAGAAAACTACCAAAATGTTTATTTTAAACTTACACTCAAAATTTTATTCGAAAAATGTATCGTGAACTTTACAAAACAGTCAAATCAATAGTGGAAACTTTGCTATGAATGTAAATGAATTCTATTTTAGTCCTTCTCTTGAAAGTCAGTATTGTTTTTTTGTTTACTCAAAAATATTTTTGTGTAGCCAAGTTTTTGAGGTCGTTTTTAGTTTTTCGTAGACAGAATATATATATATATATATATAATAAGCAAACTCTCTAAAATAATGGATACATTTAAATACAAAGATTTTCGAACTTTTACATAACAATGTATATGAAGATAACGAGAAACGTACTGATAATGAGATGATTCATGTTGGAATTTAAATATTTTATCTTATTCGAATATCATACTAGAATATTTGAATTTTCAAAGCATGCAACTTATTAATGATAGATACTATTTAGGTATGACAAGAAAATCTATGGAAATTGAATTATTCAAAAATTGGTGGATGTGCATTTCATAATCATTCTTATCAACTGCAACTATCGTCATTAATTTTTAACTAAGAAAAATTATTATATGACTCTTGTTGAAATTCAGTCAGATTTAAGATAACAATATATCAATAACAAATTTGTACTTTAAAATTAGATTCGTATTCTTTTTTGATACAATAAAATCAGATCTACGATTCAAATAATGAGTAGATAGATTGAAAATCTTTCTTGAAATATTGTCTAGTTAGGATTATTATTATTTGACTATGTTACTTCAGATACTAATAAAATTCTTTGCTACAACACGGTTTTGAGGATTTAGAAGGCGATTTTCTACAGTTTTAAAAATCTAAAAACAACTTTCACTCTAGTCTTTTACAATTTCCAATTAAAAATTCTGAAAAAGAGAGACATCTTGATATAAATCTACTAATTAAAGTTCTGAGTTGATGAAAAATTATTTTATTAAATAGAGTCTTCTATTATATCCGATGCATCATTTTTCCATGCGTGTCTCCCATTATGAAGAGTCGTCTAATCACTATAGGAAATTAAAACTGATAGATTTATAACGGATGAATTATTTTCAATCACAGTTTTAAATCGTGAGCCTTATTTAGAACAGATTTCGCTATAATAATTTAATCAATAAAAATTTTTAACATTGCATGTGATTTAAACTACGCAATTGAAATTGTTAGTTTTATCCACGTTCATTAATAAGATACGTTTACACCACAAATCAACGCACTATCATATACTTGTCTCTCATGTAGCAAGCGTTTCTTTGTGTCCTTGACTTATAAGAAGATAATGAACGCATTTTCTCTTCTCTTAATCTGCTCTTCCTTTTGGTCCTGCGGCCTTACTTTCTTTACTTCTTTCATTTCTCCTTTCCATTCGTCAATATATTAGGCAGGAAAAGCGAGAATAATAAAAGTATTAATATAAATAATCATGTATGCATGAGAGTGAAAAGAGAAAAATCTTGTGGCGTAATTTCATCTTGAAATAAAATAAATATAATCATACTGACTAAGAGCATTATTTAAATTTCATTTCAACCTAGACTGATACTGATTACTTTTTTAGAAGAATAATAATTCCGCCTGAATAACTTCAATACTTAAATATTGTCCACAATTGCTCATATTTTTCAAGATTATCATTGATCATCGAGCGAAAAAAAAAATATTATATACACAATTGCACTCGATACAAACGAACGAGAAAACATTTGTCTACAGATGAATATATAAAATAATGCTTCGAGAAAAATTCATAAATGGTGACTTTCTGAAGCGAGGGTATTGCAAATACATCTGATCTTTCATTAATTTTATCGAACATATCAATCAAATAAAACTGATTACGATTTTAGTTTTACCTAATTTACTTAAAAGTTTAATTAAGTTAAAATAGTTGATAACTATAACTGTTTTAACTTTTGAACATTTTTTTTTTTTGGACAACTATTCAATTTTTTGAAGAAAACAATTTCAATTCTCGATACATTCATAGATAATCTTTAGATTCCTACGTTCATTTTTCTACATTGAGTCTCATCGGAACAAAAATGAAAATAGACCTTGAATAAGCACAATAAACTTACATATTATCGACAATATTGTGAATAATGTCGTTCTTCTGTTGAAATACGCTTTTGTTAGCTATAGTTTTGACTTACACGCCGGGCGTGCAAGCGAAGAAATAAATAAAAGTTCTGAAAAGGAAAAAATATTATTATGAATAATCAACTTTTATATAATATAGTATACAACGAGTGCATGCGCATTTACTCAGGTGAAACAATATAACCTACGTATATGTTCATGGGGTATGACTGTATGTTATAGAAGGATAAATTAATCGTAATTGTTTAATAAGTGTCCACAGTGCATCCAAATAAAATTTCTATAGAACGCATATATGTATATTGATTTTACCATTTTTCTTGCTTCCTTACTGTCGTTGTTTTTTTCTAACCGTTGTACTATATGGAATAGCTTATTCATCCAACGCTGCATTTATACTAGTAGCGTGAGAGTGCTTCTTTTTTTTTTTTTTTTTTTTTTTTTCTTTTTTTCTTAGCAAGAGAGAAGGAAAAGAAAAAGCGCCATTTCAAATTTATACACTTATGATAATTGTACCTATCGTTTATTCAATTATTTTCATGTGAAACTAAAAATAGAAAAATGAATGCCAACATGATGAAGTTTAAAGAAAATTTATTATGCTAAATTTAATGAAAATAAGTATATATAAGATAGCTTCAGTTTTATAATATCTATCTAAAAATGTAGAAATAATTATTAATTATTCGTTTTCAGACGACTCTACTTCTTCTTCTCGATCAAGTGAAATTTTATTTAAAACGTTTTTTTTTGCTCCAATAAATATCATATAATGAAATAGAGCATGCTAATTATAAACATCATCGATGCATGTAATATAAAACCTTTGACTTTTTCCTTATCTATTTACGATTTGTTACAAATATACTAATAGCTACTAGTAAATCTATAATAAAAAAATGAGATAGACACCAATATTTCTCTAGAACAACCAGAATAAGTACACTATACATTTTTAACTTATTATTATTATTATTATTATCATGTTGCATGATTTGTTCCTTATAGATTTTCTTTAGAAATTTCAAACATCAATTATCACACAGACTATTGTTTTTAATATGATATTTCGATTAAAAGAAAAGAATTTTTGTTATAACAAATGACTATTTTAATAACAGATTATTGAATACTTGACAAACTAAATGAATCTCAAGTCGTTGAAAGTATTTTGAAAATCGCCTATAACGAAAAAACCTATCAGTTGATTATTTATAAAAATACAACTTATTTATTATATTGCTCGATATTGCAATCGACTATCTGTCGAATATAATAAAATTAGATTTTTTTTATTATTCCTTGCAGTCAAATGAAAAATACAGCTGCGATAACATATTTTGGAGAATCGGTATCTTTCAGATGTTGGATGCAAATATTTTCTTCTGATAGGCAAAGTACTTTTCCATTCTTCCATAAAAATGCAACTATAGGGGCCATTCGATACATCTCATCAGCAGCTAACAAACGGTACAATTTGTCTTTTTTGACATATATTTCTGTTCAATAGAAAAACGAGAGTACTTAATGGTCGTTCTCCTCTTTTGGATCACTTGTTGTTCTTCGCGAGAGTACAAATTGTCGTGCTCAAATTTTTACCGTGACTAGATTATTGGAAATGATAAGGCTCATGCTGGAGGAAAAAATATTTACAGAAGATCTTCAATCGTTTTTTTTTCAAGGACTCTTCAAAAACCATCGGTCCTCTTTACGACCTCAGTTTTAATTTGTCTGATCGGACTCGAATTTTTTTTTGTGGAGGCACATGTGAGACTTTGTTTCACTTACTTTCGGAAAAAATTTCAGTTCCATCGAACAAAGGAAGACCGAAGTTGTAAGCAGGTCCGATGATTTTTGAAAATTTCTTCAAATATCTCTGGAGGTCTGCTTTAAAAAAATTCTTCCTCAAACATTGATCTCAATAATTAACTGTGGTAATAATATGAGGCCCGACAGATTATAGTTTCAAGGAGAATTTTAATGAATCGAAAAAAGAGGATAACCATTAAGTGCTTTTATTTTTCTATTGAACTGAAAGCTATATCAAAAAACAATTAATACAATGTTGAAGGTACCGATGCAATGCGTCGAATAAGTCCTATCGTTGCATATCTATCCTAAAGCAAAAAAAGTATAGTAACAACCAGAAGGTTGAGTCTCTGAATGTTTTTAATAAAATAATATTCATTTTAATCAACTCAATCTGAACAAGTTATATCAGCAAAGATCGAACGATGCATTTGTCATTCTTTTTCTTATTCATACATTCAAAATCTGTTAAAGAAATAAACATTTTCTCATGATTCTGCACTATCACAGTTTCGATCAATAGCATAAACGACAGTCATTTTTTTTTTCTTATCCGGAAACATTATCTCGATCGTCAATCGTATTCACAAAGCTTTTGATTGCTAAATATCTCTATGGGATACAATATGCGATCAATGTTGATGATGTATCTATTTTTCTTGATTTATTTCTCGACTTTGAATAATAGGAGCACATGTAACTACAAGCAAAAAATTATGTTAAAGCATATTTCTAGATGATTAATATAAAGTGAACGAAAACATATCTAATTGACAAAAAGCACAATACAACATCGAAAAAAAAAAGAAAACAGAAAAAAAAAATATATTTTTTCTTATTTCAAATCGAGAATATGTTTACGTGGATTGATTAACTTTTTGGTTTAACGATTGTTGCTTTTCTTATCTTTCTTTTGCGACTAAAATAAAAATAAAATTAATTAATAAAATGAACGTGAAGAAGAAAATTTAAAAAACATACATTTTTAAGTAAAATAATAAGAATGCGAACGAATAAATCGACCATATCAATAAATAAGAGAAGTGCATGTCTAAAAATAAAATATTTTTAATATATCATATATATATTAATGTTCTATTAAAGTTCAAGATTGTATATTTTCTTTTCTTGCCGGTTAATTTCTTACTAATAGCAATTTAATGTTAAATTGATTATTGACATTATATTTGTAATAAACGATACTGTTTTTCAGGAATGACTCGATTTCAATCTTGAAAGTTTTTCTTCGCAGACTTTCAGCATTTTATTCGTTCTTTTGCTTACCAATCCTTAAAAAACCGCTCGATCTCTTTTTTCATCTTTAGAACTTGAGAAAAAAATGCAGAATATTATATTTACAAATATTTACTCAAATGTGAAATAGTTTTCAAATAGCTCACAAACAGAGACGTGGTAAACTAAACATTATACTTCAAATATTTTATGCTTCATGCGAATCATCTTATAAATAATAACTGAATCGAGAGAGAAGACTGAAAAAAGTGCTAGCTGTTGATTAAACCAATAATAAAAACGAGTAAAGCAGAGTCTTGTAACATGTGATTCAAATAAATGCTTATAAGTTTTCAAAAGATCGGAACCAAAAACACTCAGTCTCATACATTTTCAATACTTCTAGGCACTTACTTGACATAATTCATATCTCCATTATTAGCTCGTTCAACAATTAATTGCGTATCATATAAAATATATCCACAAGCAAGAGCTAAGCCAAGGTATAAATTAACCTAAATCAAAAAATGAAAAAAAAAAACAATCGTTATAATAACACTGAAATATGTTTCTTTTTTCTGATTTACATTGAAAATAAGTTGCGAACGTCCAAATATATTCATCAAACTAAGTAAAAGCATAATAGATGTGCCTGTACCCAGTAAACCTGAATATTTCAATATATGTATATCAGAATATATTCTATTATTATTATTATTCTTACCTCCTAGATATAGATAAGTTCGACTTTTTGTAAATAAAGCACTAAGTGTAAAACAAACAAATATAATTGTTGTCAATAAAAATGCTGTTACGATAATTTGCGGGTCGACATGAATGGCCAAATTGATCAATGGGCTTAAATAAATACCCGTAAATAAAGCTGTAGCAGACATTAATCCAAAACATTTCATTTGTGTACGACCATTAAAATCAAGTGAAAAAAGCCAAATACTTGTTATTATTGATGCAAACATTGCCAAACGAGGATAATTGAGCCAACCTGTCATGGATAAATAAATACCCAATGTAGCACATAAAGTTGCACCCAATAAACACGTATAGACATTTTTCAAATGATTTTGAACCCGTGGTTGTCTGAATAAGATAAAAGAAGATTAGTTTAGCAAAACAAAAAGAAAAATAAATTTCATATTTACAAAGTTGAAAAATCAAAAAGTGCTTTCAAATTAAATTTATTTGATGTATTTGGTTTACCATCAGGGCGATATTGATTACTATTACCGAAGAAAGGAAATGAACTTGTTTGCGACATTTTTTTTTGTCGAAGTATCGATTAAAAAATCTAGAAAAAAAGATTTTTCCGAAGATTATTTCTTAATCATTCATGGAACGGAAAGTCTGACAATTCTATAGTTTCATTAGGTGATAGTGTCATATGTTTGTTCGCACTATCACTAGTATTTCAACAGTAGATTACCGATTGAGGGACAACTACCATCGGAATAGTGTACATCATACTGAACGGTGTTTGCTCGTTTCAAATCACGTGGACAGATTGGACCGATTAGATAGTATAGATAAAAAATTAGACATGCTTGATTTCTTTTCTGAATGTAAACTTGAAATTTCTACCTATTCTATGTGCTGTTGGTACTTTTTTTTTTACTTTAGATACAGACTTCACCTCCACATAGTGCTGCGAGGGTGTGTGAATTACACCAATAAGTATGATAATTGTGTTTAAAGTAAAAAAAACAGTGTCTTCTTATCATACGGACAAACTAATTATTCTACAGTCACTTTTTGAATATACAGGGTTGGGGCAAATGAATAAAAATATAGGGGGCGCATTCTTTGCTATGCCACTCCGCTGTCACACCGTGGCAAATGAGTAAACTGAAATGCAGTACTTTAAATAAATAAAATGGAAGAAAAAGTGAAAAAAATATGCTGATGTATCATGTAATATAGATCGTTGATTGAATGACGCAAAAGACAACCCTTTCTTCCAATCTCATTTTTCAACGTGGAGAAAAGCAAAAAGCAAAAATAAATAATGAAATAAAGCGAACTATTTGTAGATCAGATAACCAATCTGAATACGACAAGAACAAATTAAAATTGTTTTAAAATTTCATGTAATATTGGTGGAAAAAAATGTTTATTGTCTGGAGAATAATAGGAATTAACAATATGTCGATACAAAAAAAATAGATAGCTGAAGCACTGATCATTAGTGACATCTGTAAAAAAATTAACTGCAATAAACATCTGTCACATAAGAATTAGCACAACAATGGACATAAATTCAGTTCTACATAGTCTTGGTGTTGTTTTCTTCGCTAGAAGAATATTAAAATCAATAGAAAAAACAAGATTTCAGTTACAGCAAAAATGTAATTTTCGATTCAATGGAAAACAAAGCGAAAACTCTGTACTTCAAGGACATGCGAAAACTATTCTCTAGAATTTCGTAGCTAGTTCAAGTGTGTCATCAACATCTATCACCGACATGTTAGTTTGAGCTCATTTTATATAAGTCTGTCTGAGAACGAAACTCAAATACTTCATCGTATTTGAAGATTTGAGTATCAGTGATATTGATAGTAGACTTGAAATAGCTCAGAAGGTGACGAAAATAGTTTTGACATATCCTTGAAGTACACTGAAGTATGGAATTTTCGTTTGCTCTTCCTTGTCATTAATTACATCCTTGTATATGGGTGTACTTCTAATTTATATGCACTCGGTCTCAAGACGTCATTATGTTGCAGACATCGTTGTATACAATCGACTAAATAACGATTTCTATGTGAAGGAAATGATATAGGTGCCTTTGATGCAATAACAGCCACTTTTTGTTGTTTACCAGGAATATTCATGAAGGGAGGACGACCATAGGTCATTTCATACAGAATAATGCCTGCTGACCATACATCCGATTTGAAACCAATTTTATGAGAAAATACTTCAGGCGCCATATAATCTAAAAATGAATATGATAGTATAATAGAGTGCACAATAATATTGAAAGTATGATTAGTGTAAATACATACCAATAGTACCAAGAACTTTTCTTCGCATAACCGACTGTGCTGGTGGATTAATCCGAAAAGCAAGACCTAGGTCGGTTACTTTAAGAACATTATTTACTAGAATTAAATTTTCGGGCTTGATATCAGCATGAACTTTGAAATAAAAGTTTTAGAAAAAGATAAATGAATATAAAAATATATCTCTCTAGTCAATTACCAATATTCGCATCTTTAAGATCTCTCAAGATGGTAACAATTTGTTTCCAATACATTCTTCGAAATGTATCCTTTAATGGTGCTCCTGCTAAGTATTGTCTTAAACTACCATTTCCTAATTCCATGATCATATAACCTGTCTTTCCTTTACGCTTATATTCGTAATCAAATAAATGAACAAAATGACGTGAACGTTTACTCATATGTTTTAAAATCCGTGCTTCTTTGACAAAACTTCGAGCACGACCAGATCTTTGAGAACGAGGAAAACGTGAAAAATGAAAAACTTTAACAGCATATTGAGCAGCATTTTGATCTTCACATCGATATACAGTGGCTTGAGCACCTTTACCAAGAACATCTAAAATGCGATACAGACGACCACGAACTGAAAATATTGGTCCTGAAAAAAAAAATACAAAAAAGAAAAAAAGAAAGGTTATATATTTTATCGATTACATAGAAAGAGAAGCAATTTAATATACCATATGAAGCAGGACTTGGCGGTTTAGACGATTCGAGGCCCATGTTGAATATAATTAATTATGCGGTTTATTTTGAATACTATAATGACGTGTGTTGATCGTCCTTCGTGATAGCGTTGTTATTGTCTTTAATGAAAAACAACGGACAAAAAATATTAGAAAAAAAACCTACTATATGATCACTAACATTGTACTCAATAGAAATATATTTTTGCTTTGTTTCTCTTTTTTCTTTCCTTTCTTGTTTTATTCTATCACACTTGAATGCGCAAACATGAAAAGATATCAAGTGAGACATTGACAGGTAAAAAAAGTTATCAGTAGCTATTTTGTTATGTCTCGTACACAGATGGTTAAAAATAATAACTTATTTCTCGTAATATTCAGCTTGGATCATTTATCAGTCAGTAGAGAAAAAAAATGAAGGTTGCAAGTCACGCTTGATATGTACAAAAAATCGAAATAGAAAAGAAGGACTAGCAAAAAAAGATACGAGCTATTTTCGATAATTATCTATATATATAGTAATTCATTTATCATTGACAAAACTCAGATATAAATTCTAACCATTTGTTTACAAATGAACTGCATAATTTTTTTCATCAGTCTTAACCATTCAATTTACACTTTTTGTAATCGATCATAAACATATGGAAGAATTATTTGAAACTTTTTATAAAATATTTAGTTAATGAAAACAACATTAATACGGGAAATCATTCAATGTGTATATGAATATGTACTTGAAAACCTTGATAGTTTAATTCTTTATATTCTGACAGTAATCCAGTAGAGTTGATGTTTAGTCAGCCATGAGAATAGCTTATGCAGGTGCTACTTATGACATTGGTATGATTAAATTTGTGAAAAGCTCTTTCAGTCTGGAGATGCAGAATGTCCTATAAATGATCCATTTGTATTGAATGGCATCATAATTACGTTTATTGTTGATTTGATTGTTTTTCATAGTTATTTTATCTGTTTAAAGTTAAATGTCTACTTATCATGAATTATTTTTTTAATGAGTCGTTTCTGGAAAAGATGAAATACTTGCAAAGGTAAATATTTTCGGATTGATATAAAGTCTTTCATTTCTAGGATCATGTCGGTATCGTTAGTCTTCATCTTCTTTTCTTTCATATGGATTCATTGATTCCGATTCGAAATGACTTATTCATATTGTTAAAGTCTTTTGCTTTTGTGAGGTTGTTCAAACGGAATTTCATGTAAAAGAATGAATATCAAGAAATAATGAATACCAGATCTGGAAATAAAGGAATAATGATTAAAAATGACACTGAAAAGAATGGCTATCAAACACGGAACACAATTGTTTTGATGAAGAAACTCTAAAAAACATATTTCATGTTCGTATCAACCTCATCTTTCTGCTGTAAAAATGCTAATGATCGTCATACTGATCATTGCTTATATTCATCATTTTCAAAGAGATCTAGTTCGCACTACCTTAAGAAAGAAAATTATTTCTGTTGATTTGATGTAAAACATAAGGAATTTTCTGAAATTAACAATGAAAAATTGCTCTAATGCTCACTATTTAGTATTATTGAGTCCTATTTTTCGATGCACTTTAATTTAATATAAAATTTGTTGCTGATCTTATTTGAAACGACAGTGTTACCTCCTGATAATAAGTTATTTCAGGCATCCTTTAGTTTCAATAAAATGTTTAAGCATGAAAATCGTGTTATGTACAAGTTCATATGGAAAAAGAAATAATTATAGAAGAAACATTTTCTATGTTAATCACTAGGAATGGATTAAAAATGACCCAAGTTGCCATGTAAAACGCTGCTCTTACATCTTTATTCAAGAAATATTTATAAACTAGTCTGCTAATAGATGACATCCGTGGTACTATATATATATATCAACCTAAAACACTATTTTCTAAGTCATAAATCTTACCAGGAAAGTCTCCTAGTTCATTAGTGACTTTTGACTCGGAACAATTTGTATCATGTTGACACAATTGATTTTTGAATATCTAAAAGAGAGCTGAGGACCTTAGCTAATTACTGTCAAGATGCTGCACTTTTACAGTAGTTTTTAAATGAATGGCGTGGTCTCTATCAGGGAAACTGATTGTTCGAATTTTACGTTGACACTTTACATAGACACAGTCTGTGCTGAAAACATAGGCGGCGGAAGCTGGAGGCTGGGTGAGGCATGAGCCTCACCCAAATTTGGTGTCTGAAGGCTCAGCCTTACCCAAATTATGAATACGATATTTTTTGCACGATGGTTTAGACTTATCAAATGAATATTATTTCAGTGCGAAGATCCGAACTTCTAATATATCTATTTATATGTTGTGATCATAGTAATAAAGCCTACTATCTATGCCGTCATAATTCGTCACAACATCTTTGTTTTATTCACATAGAGTGTTGTACAAACCAAAACGATTATAGATTAATGCAGTCAATGTCAGAACTATTTGTATTCAAGCGTTTATCCTCATCTTCGTGATGTATCACTCATTTCTCTATATTGAGTGAAAGCACAGTCCTAACAGAGTGTGGGTGTGGACACAGGGGAAATAACAGATTTCGGGATTCCTGGGTTCCATATGATTCCGAGGAACTCCAAGATATTTTCAAGATCTAAAAAACGGTAGAATTATTTGGGAATCCTTCAGTCTCTTTTACCATACGAACCAGAGATGTCCATGGCTGCGCGGCAGCGTCAGGTTTCTTAAAAACTCATCGCGGCAGCGGCAGCAGTTTTTTTCGAGGATATTGAAAAACTGCATGAATTTAATAGAATTTCATTGTTTACAAATGAAACACCCGAGACTGAATGAATCTGATGGACTAGTACCAATATTTCTGGTCCAATACAGTTGCAGCAGTGAAAATCGAAACACTTTTTTGAAAACCATCGCGGCAGCGGCGCGGTGACTTTTTTTTATACACCATCGCGGCGCGGTAACTTTTTTTTTCTAATGCCGCGGCGCGGCAGCGGCAGAGTTAAAGCCGCGATGGACATCTCTGATACGAATGTTTCCTGTTCAATGCTCTATGATGCACAGTGAACGACCACGGTACTACTATAAAATGTGATGTAAGCATTCACACAAGCGGTGTGCATAGTACTTAGTAATTTCAATCTTAAAAAAAGGATTACCAGACTACTGTCAATAGCTTGTATTTTAGGTTGATAATCAAATTGAAAAAGATAAATGTTAATGGAAACAAGAATAAAAACAAAACCTATAATTATTCAATAGCTGAAACCTGTGAAACAACAATAAGTAAATCAGTTAGTAATGATGTGGGTGTGTGGGTGTGAAAGCAAAATCAACGATCCACACCCACACCCACACAGTGGACAGCCAGGTGACAAAATCAATTTTCGAGATTCGAACCCATATCGTAGCTAGCATTGAAGCTACCATGGTCCTGATTTAAGAGAATCTTGGATGTCGCTCAATAGCGAGTATGCATTAAATATCAGGTACCACAAAGTACGTCAAATAGGTGAATATCATTAATTAAACCATATAAGTAAAATTTATATTTTTAATTGATGATCTACTTATATTTTGTAGTCATCAAATACTTGTATAGTTTTATGTATTTACTATATATTACAGACCGTCCGGACTTCTTGAAGCTCTTTAGGCTATAATAAGATCAAAAACTTCCAATCAATATGGTGAAAAATAGTCACTGATCCATAATGCAGTTCATTTGCTGGATTTTGTCGGAGTTCAAATGGAAGCTTTAATCTATCTCTTGATAGAACGTATCATCATCTATCTTCAATAGATCCTCAAAGATGCGCCATTGAACCCTTGTCGAGATTTTTTATTTTTATGACATTTTTGAGCACACCATCATGGTCTCCCTCAAGCTCACTGAAAAATCGACTTTCGAATTTCGACTTGAAACTTTGAGCAGAGAAAGGTCTCAATAAGACTGGTTTATTCTGAAATTCTCAAATTTCTTGGTTGCTCCTATCTTTAAATATGAACACTTAACATTTTGTGCTTTAAGTAATATGAAAAAAAAGTACTTTTTCTTACACTCGTGTCTCAAGAGAGAAGGAACCCACAAATCTGAAACCATCAGAACAAACTAGTCTGATTGAGACCCTTCTCTGCACAAACTTTCAAATCGAAATTTGAAAGTTGATTTTCCAAGTAAATCTGACGAAGACCACGGTGTTCTGCTGAAAATTGCTGTAAAAATCAAATATCTTGATAGAAATAAGCAAGAAACACGTGTCGTTTTTAGAGTATTCATAGCTCATTAGAGCCCACATAATTCACATAGTCTCGACCCAATAGCGATTTGGCACCTGGCAATTGCTTTCGATCCCTTTTTTCTGTCCAACTTGACCCACACCCTCCAGATAGCTATGCGACCCATCTCCTCAATTATTTCTATCCTATCTGATATAATGATCGACAAAAAAAAATTAAGAAATAACTGTTTCTAATTTTTATAAAGGGCTTTTGCAGGGAAATTGAAAATATTTCGGCATTCCATGGGACTTAAAGGGTTCCATGAGGTTACAAGGGACTCCAAAGAGTTGAAATCTGCCGTTTTCCCTTTTGGGGTGTTGGTGTGGATGTCGAAGAAAAGAAAATAAACCAAAGCCCACACCCACCCACATCCACACCCTTTCGTCAATAAAGACATTGATAGAAGAAAAAAGTTACTTAGGATAATAAAAAAAAAGGTTTTTACTGAGCCTCACCTGATTTGGAAACGTTCCGCCGCCCCTGATTCCGATCTTGTCTGTCATCGTCTTCGACCGAACTAAATTATTTCATTAATACTCTCGGATTGTGATGATACACCACGCCAATCTGAAATTTTCTTTTCTCATTTCTAAATTGAACCATTTACTCGACTTTGATCACTTACATTGAACAAGGTAGAAGGCAAATCATTGATCACCATCCTAAAGAATGTGAATAGACTCAATTGATGTTTTCAACTCTCATTGTTCAATTGTGATTTCAGATCACTACTATCTTTTCGAATACTGTTTCAATTAATACGGTTGAAA